TTAAATAATTTAAAATGACCATACTATTTGATCATTTTCGATTAATTAATTACTTACTTATACCATTCAACAATAAAAATAACTTAAATAATTTAAAATGACCATACTATTTGATCATTTTCGATTAATTAATTACTTACTTATACCATTCAACAATAAAAATAACTTAAATAATTTAAAATGACCATACTATTTGATCATTTTCGATTAATTAATTACTTACTTATACCATTCAACAATAAAAATAACTTAAATAATTTAAAATGACCATACTATTTGATCATTTTCGATTAATTAATTACTTACTTATACCATTCAACAATAAAAATAACTTAAATAATTTAAAATGACCATACTATTTGATCATTTTCGATTAATTAATTACTTACTTATACCATTCAACAATAAAAATAACTTAAATAATTTAAAATGGCTATACTATTAGAACATTTTCGATTAATTCGATTAACTAATTACTTACTTATACCATTCAACAATAAAAATAACTTAAATAATTTAAAATGGCTATACTATTAGAACATTTTCGATTAATTCGATTAACTAATTACTTACTTATACCATTTAACAAACACATTTCATTCTACTTTCTCAATCACTACAACCATATATAAAATAAAAAAAAATAATTTTTGCTTTCACTGAATTTAAATACAAAAAATTAAAAATTAATTGTTAATTGAAATGGTAAAAGTCAATTGCAAATTAAAATTGTAAATTTCAGAAATTAATGTGAGATTTCAGACTATCTGATAACGATTCATGTGCTCATAAAATGAATTCAAAAGTTAAATTTACCTGTAAATATTTTTTAGAAAAAAAAATTTGTTTTTTTTTTTTTTTTTTTTTGTTTGTTTTCTTCTTTACAGCATTAGACGCAACACTAACTACACGTGCGTTTGTAAGTTTTTCACACGTAATGGTCGTTTTGTGATACTAAATGTCACATTAATGTCACATCATTAGCTCTTTCCTTTTCTTTTTTTCTTTTTATGACAATCGATTTTGCTTTATTTCTTCACTACACTCTATTTTATCATATATATATATGTGATATGCTGAAGTGAAATAGCATGACGTACGTGAAATATGATACGTAAATATGATTTTTACGTAATGTTATATTATTTCTGCAAATGTTAACGTGAAATATTACATTAATTAAAGGAAGGAAAGTATTGCATGAAATATAACAGAATTAATTGGTGACAATATTTAATTTTAACCATTAAATATTTTAGATTTCAAAAAAAAAAATAAACAATTTAATATTGTCTACTTTTAAGTATGCAATATTTCGTGCGCTAATTTGCAACACTTTCTGCATGATTGTATACAAAACATTCAGTTTTTGTGCTATATATAAGATTACAGCTGGTGGTAATAATTGTCCGGTTGATAAAACACGCCGGAATTGGTGTCCATCTTGCCGATTACGCAAATGCTTTCAAATGCAAATGAACCGGAATGGTAAGTATGAAGGAATGAATGGTTTGATAATCATTGAGAGATCAAGAAATGAGAGGAAATAACTTCTTCTTTCTTTTTTTTTTTTTAATAAAATTTTATTTTTAGAAAGAAATCGATCATTTCTTTGTTTCATTCAAATTTTATTGTTATTTGAAGATTGATTGAAAAATTTTCAATCAATTTCTATTCTTAGTTAATTTCTATTAATTCATATTATTAGATTACATGAAATATACAAAATATTTTTTTATTTTTTATTACCACTAATCGTTAAAGTTTAGTTAATAGAAAAGAATTTTCAAATGAACAGCGCTAAATTATTTAAGAAAAATACCTAAAAATTCAATCATTCAGAAATTCTGATTTAATTTTTTGTTTTGAATGATTTAATTTTTAGGTATTTTTCTTAAATAATTTAGCACACTGTTCATTTGAATAGTGAAAAGGTTGAAGAAAATTTCAAAAAAAAAAAAAACAACTCTATGATAAGTATAAGTATCTGATAAGTATATAGGATTACCAAAAATCACGTGAGGTTAAACGTGTTTCACGTAAATTAGAAGCAAAAACACATCTGTAATGTCTTTTTTTAGGATTTTTTCTTTTTTTTTAGAAATAAGAATCAGATAGATTTATAATAACAAAATTTATTAATAGTAAAAATATATTTACATATACTATTACTAAATTCTAGTCATAGTTATAATCTTAATTCAATGTCTTAAATTGGAATATATTTAATTTCAATTTATTAACATCATTCAAACAATTGTTTTTTTTTCCTATACTTTTCACCATTTCTTCTTTACATTTTAGTGAATAACTCAGAAACTATGCATAAATTGTGTTATGATAAAATTTATTTCAAATTTAAAAAATTTCAACCAACAAATAATTAATTATAGCTGTGCAAAAGGAACGTGGTCCACGTGCAGATAAACGAGTGAAATTATTAATAGAGTATTCAATCAGTGAAAAAAGTAAGTTTCTATGAAAAATTTGTTGTATCAAAATTGATCGATCAATAATTTCATCTACAAATATTTGCTTTTTCTTTTTTTTAGAGTTAATAATAGGGAAATTGATAAGAAATAATCCTTTAAAATAAATACTTATAATTGAAGTAATTCTGTATGCTAGGAATAAGCTTATCATAAGCTTACAATAAAGCTTATCAGAATGTAAAACTAGATAATATTTATTAAGCATCTCTGCTAAAAATAAATTAAAATAAAACAATTTATCATATCATTTAAGTGATAAGTATCATTTCAATGATCAATGTATAGCAAATTGTATGCCAAAAATATGATATCCAGTATACTAAATTGATTAGATAATTTGAATAACTGATATAACTGACAATATATTTTGTCTGATTTCTGATTAACTTCACTAAATCATTTTAAAATATAAATTATATTTATTAGTAAATAAATTCAAATTTTTATTCGTTAGCATAAAATTTAAATCAAAATTATTATATCGAAAAAGAAAACAAATTTAGAAGAGCAAATACTAATAGAAGCAATTCGACGTCCACTCAATACAATTTTGATGAGTTTTATTTCACCGGCAGATAAATTTATAATCCTATCTCGTTACTGGCCAGCATTTTTCATACTTCATTGCACTATCGCTATAGATATACCACCTCTTCGTGATCTAAAGGTTAAGCAAAAAAAACTTCTCAATCAATTTTTATAAATGATCACCAGGTCATAATATGATCTGATCAATTTAACTAATCAGTAAAGCTGAATTATTAATTTTTGATATAACTAATTGATGTTCAGTAATATATAATGTTAGAATATAATATAAATATAAAATATATCTTTAGTAATATAATGTTAAAATATAAAATATATAAAATATAATGGTTAAAATAACTGAAAAATTATTAAAGTTTTCACTTTCATTTTTTTTTTTTTCTTTTGCTAAAATATCACAGAGATCAATGATAGTTAAATAAGTTTATTTTAGAGATCACAATTGAAATGTTTGAAATTTCATTTAGAACAGAAATTAATTCATCCAAAATTACTTCTAATTGTTCTTAAAATAAAAATTTATAATGATTGATGCATAAACAATAAGGAAATACTTTCTTCAGTTGAACGAAGTAATACAATCAGCAAGACAAGACGATTATATTAGCAATTTAGATTGTGAAGAAATACGACTAACAGTATGCTACGCTCTTTGCAAATTGGGTTATTACTTCTTGAAATAATCTTAATGTCTAAATAGCTCTTTTTTTTTTTTTTTTAGCTTAATATTTGTTTAATTATTTATCAGGTTTACTTACATATTCATTGCCATTTCTTAAATTATAATTATACTTAAGTTCAAAAATTCAATTTTATTTATTTTTAACTAAAATTTACTCAAATAGAATGAATATGCATATGTCTTATTTTCCTATTTTTTCGAATTTTTCTATTTTATTTTGTAGTTTATATTATTATAGGTCGAAAAAATCGAAAGCTGAGTTTTGCTTCTAGTCTGGATAGTATCTATCGATATTGGTTATCACGTCACTGCTCCATCTTTTATCCGCATTTGTTAAATCGAGACGAACGAATTGTGAATTACACCGACTTTATATTGCTATATTGTGAGCATATTTCGATGATCAATGAGTTTACGCCATCTACGCATCCAGTAGACGTAATTCGAACTCTTTTACACATTAATAAATTGACCTGATTACATTGCATCATACCGTTCAGTATGTAAAACGTATTCTACACTTAATGTAAAACATAAACTCAGATATTGTAACAAAACATTTGTAAAAGTCCCTATTTATTGGTGCTTTCTCTTTTATTTTGTGATGAAATTAGCCTTATTTTGTTAGCCTTGTTCATTGAGTTCAATTAAATACCTGCAAAAAGAAGACACCAATAATCTTTGACAGAGATTTATTTCTTAAACCAAAAATCTTTGACAGAGATTTATTTCTTTTATCTCCAGGATATATCTCCGACGGATTAGAAATGAATCGATATTCCAAACATTAAGAACCTAGAAATATTCTTTGTGCATGCTTTGTTGTGATAAAAAACGTCCAGCTATACCATATGTTGCACATAGTAACTAATTTTCATTCATTATTCCATTCTTATATGACTGTTCCATGATAATGATTTAAATTCATATGACAAATTCTTTCAATTTTTTTCTTTTTTTTTTTTGTTCAATTGTTGAAAAGATCAATTTTTCAAGCACATTTGTATATTTCAAGATAAATCATAAATCACACAATAAAAAGAAAGAAAAAAAGAGAACAAAGCAATAAACATAACGTGTCATCATTGATAATAATATAATGGATCACATCTTGCACATCTTTTATTAAGACCTGTAAAATGATAGAACATGAACTGAATGGGGGGGAGGAAGTGGGGAAGAAAAACAGATTCTAATAACAAAAATAATAACTCACAGCTCTAACAATCATCGTAAGAGATGGTAAAAAGAGTGAATAGTAATTCACTATTTCACAATTAACAACCCTCTTCTTGACTCTTTCGAACGCAGGCTGCTACACGTTTCTTGAATTCAGCAAAATTCTCGCGTTGCATCTTCTAGAAGTAAATTCCTAGCTCATGCAGATGAAAAAAAAAAAAAAAATGAATTTTATCAAACTTAAAGCTTAGAAGAAATACAACAGCAGTTTGACCATGAATGAACTACTCGAATAGGATCTACAATGCCAATACTAAGCTATTTCATCTAATGATTGGGCTTATTGTTTATATCTCACTAACATATTGCAGTATGTTTTCTAGGCTTGTTTAAAGATTGAGAAACGCATGTTATACTGCTCCCTCATTAGTCAATCAATTTTTGTCATTCTCAAACTGCAACAGAAAACTTCGACATTTCTATATGGACAAATTTTCACAGCTCGAAATATGTATTCATTTGTAATTACTAACAGCTATAGTAAAAATCAATAAATCTTACCGCGGCATCAACATTTGCAGGTGAATCGTGATTTGGATCTGCAAGCATCGATATAACAGAAAGAAGAATTGTTTCTACGGTATGCACAGGTAACCACCTTTCTTCTGGCTTCTCGTAACCCCATCGATCATCTCCTGGTTCGTGCAATATCGATATGCAAACATTGCCTTCCTTGTCAACTGAAGAAAAAATTAATGAACCAAAGAATACATGAAAAAAATTAAAGACTGGAATATCATTCAGCATATTAAGAAAATGGCGATCCCGAGATTTATTAAATGTGTATTAACTGCTGGAAGTAACACATAACAAGCACCAATCAAGTATTAATTTTATGAAATCATTTATTATAACACCGTATAAGCCACCGCTAGTTAAGCACTTTGTAACTTGAAGCAATTTATCCTCCTGTAATCATGACAAACTTTTCCATCATTAAGCTGAGGCCTCAACACTACATAATCGGAGTGATCAAATGATATTTCATGGGAAGAAGGTAATATAGGCAGGGAATTTCTATATTAAATAAGATTTAATTATCCTTTCTTTATTTGAACACAAATTATTTTTAGTGATAAAATATGAAATACACATACTGTTCGGATGCCAAATTTCAGAAATGAACTTCATCTTTGGCGGCAACAATGGGTATTCCTTGGGAAATTCCAGAAGCGCTTTAAAGAATCCTCCTTCGCTAAAATAACCAGTATTTTTAATTTGTATCGCTGTTTTCATGCAAAAAGAGCTGCGCTTTACAACATATATCCAAAAGTTCATGACATAAGGTCATATCATAATGGGTTCAAAAGGTCAACTGCGAAAACTTTCCGATGAATCTTATCCAACACCTTTCGACGACTGTTTCTTGGACTATTTTTTTTTTTTTCTAAACAATTTAAATAAACTAACTAAAGCGTGTCAGGCGGCCCAATAACAAGCACTTCCCATTTGTAGATGTCATCACCTTGAAGACCTGCTGAAAATCCATCAACAGGAACTCGTTTTAATTCTGCAAGAAAAATAATTACATCTTTGACGAACTTTTACGTATTTTATAAGTTCTAGAAACCTTAGCATGTGTCTCGGTATCTGGAAGTGGTGGAACTAATTTCACTGATATTTCATTTTCCTTTTACTTCTCCTTTTCATTTCCACTTTAACTTATATAGGTGCACAAAAATTAATAGCAGATATTTCCTAAAAAAGAACTTAACCGAAAACCTGCGATACTAAACCTTACTTCTGATTGATTTTTGTAACTTTCCTACATCAATAATCCATAGCGAATATTTACAAAAACACGTCCAGGTGTGAATTTGAGTTATCCAAATGAATGGCAAATGCAACTAATTTAGGTCTAGAATGTTCAAGAAAATTCTTACCTGCAAGTTGTTTTCTGAGAAGAAGCGCTGACTGCAATTCACCCATACTCCTCCACTAAAATAAGCCCACTACACCGCCAAAATAATAACAACCCTTTCTTTGTTCACCGAAAATGCAAACAACTAATTCTAGTTATTACAAAATTAACGAAAACAAAAAAATCGATAGCTATATTGAACAAAGACGAAGTACCATATGTAAAAAATGATACAACATCGCGTAATTAATAATTAAATATTCACTAAATGATATGCTTTGATGAACTTATTTGCTTTGATGAACTTTTTGCGGTATGATCGTGCATATTACATAGATCATCAGCTCATTATCAAATAAATAACCTATGGAATTTGACATATTTGAAATAAAACTTTACAGTACTCATTATTAGGTAACATTTAAAATTTCTATGTTAAGTCAAAGATCAGCTCAATAAACAAACAATATTTTACCCTATTACTGTCATTTCCTTTATTCCTCATTCAAATCCTTTTCAAAAATAAGCAAAAATAATGCAGAAAGAAAAAGAAAGAAAAATTTAATGATCACTTTTTTATGGTAAAATATATATACATAGAATAATTTACAATAAACTGAAAATGATAATTTAATTCAATTTTTCTTCTTTCTCTTTTTTTCTTAAATTAACACAAAAAAGATTACATACAAATTTCATCAAAATCAAACAAATATACTCATAGAAGTATTACTTTAAAACTCCAAGATATTATCATAGAATTGTACGCACTTCTAAATTTTCACGGTTCATTACTTCTATCAACATAACATACTGACATTTTGCATGGTCGACAATTGATGTCAGTGTAGCGTATTGCACAGTCTATGGATGTTGAAATGACATTTTGTGAAGGACAGTTTTATGTATGTTATTTATTTGTTCATTTACTGGGAGTTTTAGGATTTCCTTGATCTCTCTCTCTCTCTCTTCTACTTCTCTCTCCCTTTCTTTTCCTTTTTTTTTTTGGTTCTGTCTCTCTCTCTCTCTCTCTCCCTCCTACACATTATTCAGAGATCGTAAATGCACACTTGAAATTGATAATACCACAAATATTGATCAACGGTAATGGTGTAATTGATAAGTGATATGATTGTAATTGATAAATACAAGTAAATTTATACAAAAATGAATGGATGGTTTAGTTTTTTTTTTTTTTTTTTTTTCTTTTTAATGCTATTTAAATGATTGTTACAATATTGTAATTGTGATTTAATATTGATAAAATGTTAAGTTTAATTTAGCTTCAAATATAAGATATGATGTAAAAGATGTGATCAGAAGAAGATCATTGACTTCAATGAGATAGATTTTTTTTTGCTCAGCTTACATTAATTGTATTACTAAAGTTAAAAATGATATCACAGAATTGATCGACGAATCTTGATTATATTTCTTTAATGATAATCATTCTTTTAATAGGTATGTATTATCACTATTAATGAACATTCGATCTTTAGCTATATTCCATTCGAACATCATAAATGATCAGTTACACTATATAAAAATACAGTGATTGTTCCATTTTTAAATCATTTCTTTTTCTTTTTCTTTTATTAATCCTGATAAAAAAGAACATAGGAATTATCTAGTTGCAAGTAGCTGTTATCAAAAGTTTAAAAGATTAAACAGACATATAAATGATATTTATCACATAAGATTCTTTGTAACGAAATTAAAAAAAAAAAAAACACATTATGAACTAAATGTATGTAATAATGACAAGTTAAATATTGTATGAAACAAACGATATAAGTTATAAATGATACTAACAAGATAGTTATTCTGTAAATTTTGAAACAATGAAAATAATTGCTTTTTTTTTTTTCGAACATTTCCATGTTTTTTTTAACATAGGAATAAGTATTCTCGGGTATATATGTATTATATATGAATGAATTTATGAAAGAATAGTTGAAATATAATTTTAGTTACCTGAAACTATTGACATATATATGACATCTCTACGTATCTTAGAATTACATTAATTTTGTAAAAAGACTCAAAATTAATTCAGTAATTCGTTGATGATGATCAATTGGACAGAAATTACGAATAATTTTCTTTCAAATAAGTTTAAATTGTAATGCTTCGATTATTAATAGCTTGGAATAAATGAGGGCCATTTAATCTATATTTTAGCAGCATAATGATGAATTGAACAGAATGATTTGATAAGCTTCTTGTCACTGATCTCTTCTGAATATTTGATCATAAGTGTCGCATAGTTTCGAGATACGATATTTATTATCTATAAATTGTTATGTTTGATACTATGATAACCAGAAGAATTATCCTAAAAATATTCAAAAGTGTAAAAATATATGTATTTCACAACCAAATAAGTGATAATACGATAAGCATTCTGTAATAGAGTGACAGTCTAATTGATAAATATCTTCCAAGATGACTTCAATATTCAATATATTCTCTATTCTTTAAAGCTCCTTTAGCAATAAGAGAATGCTGAAGGCAAAAAAAAAATTTTTGAACAAAATAGAGGTACTAAAATATTAAGATACCTGTACCGATGTACAGGTATCTTATATAAAATTTGCTAAAAATTTGCTGCATGAAACTTACTTAAAAAAATTGCAAATATATTTTAGAAAAATGAAGATATCGTGAAAAAGTTAAAGGAGTGAGTTTTTTGTCTTTAAAATTGATGTCAGTTTATACTTCAAAAATGAGTAAGATAATATCAAGTAAATATGTTGCTTGATTATTATGAGATTTAAACGATATGATTTACCTTGATTTGTCACTTGTTGTATATATTTCTGTCTTTTTACTCCTTTCTTATTTTTCAGTCCAAATGTTTTATCTTCAGTTAATTTTTCCATCTTTTTCTATTCAACTTTTTTATTTTTTAAACGTAAAAAAAAAAGAAAGTATTTTAAGATGTAAATAAGGAACTCACAAAAAGTAATTAACTGATAAAAATTACAATTACTACAAAATACATATCAAGATGAGAATTGCATTAAAGTAACAGCAATACATGCTATCAGCAAAAATGATGAGAAATAAATAGTGAAAAGAAATTTTTTTCACGAATAAACATGTAAACTTTCCCATTGATTTTATAAAACATCAATTGATAATGATATCCTTTCGATAGAAGAAACTTTTAAAAATTTATAAAATATGAAAAAATCCCAAAAAAAAAAAAAAAGACAACTGCTTGAAATAAAGTTTGTATGATAATAGTAACACTAAGAAATGAAGTGAGAAATGATATGCATATGAAAAACAATCATATCAATTTGTCAATATGCAAAATCTCTATGGACAATATACATATATATTCTCTCTCAAGTTTGATTACAAGAAAAACAAAAAAAAAGAAAAATTAGCAAAAAGAAAAAAAGAAAAAAAAAGAAAAATTCTTATTAGTTTAAACAAGTGAAACCATTATTTAAATATTGTCAAAAGAATAGAAAGAAACCGCTAAAAGGAAATAAATCTCTATGGAAAATTTCAATTAACTTAATATAGCACAATGTGCAAATCTTATTATATAAAATGATATGTCTAGATTTTATATAATAATAATAATAATGAAGAAATATAACGCAAATATGCAAAATTCTAAATGTAATTATAATTTTCATTTTTAATCATTTCCAAAAATTTTCAATAGTATTGAAGCAAATAATACATGTGCCGTAATTTAATAAGGAAAATGATGAATAATAAAAACTGATTATAAAAGAGAAAAATATTTGTGCTATATTTTAATGTCAAACTTTTTATTATGAAAAATCATTTGAGAGAATGTTCAAGATAATTTACCGTTATCATACGGAATTTATCGTAATTTAAGGAAATGTATGGGATTCTACCATTTGCTTAAAAATGATACCCAAGAGAGTAAATTGGAAGAATGGATGATGACATTGAGATATTAGATATTTAAATCACTAAAATTTTTATGAATCTATCACCTGCTCATATTTTGGATAGAATTGCAACTGTCAAGTGATATCTACAAGAAGACATCATTTACATAAAACGTCATTCTCTAAAGAGCTATTACAATTCAAATGATGGGTAGAAACTAAAAAGTGACAACCCTATTAAACTATCCCAAAACAAAATTCTATTTTATTTAGATATTATTCCATAAAATGTTTTATTTATTTATTTATTTTTTTGGTGAGTAATCAAACCAACGATGATAAATTCCTAGATTGCACTTAAATTAATTTACAAATTTCTTTTATACAGCTATTTTCAAAAGCCTAGCAAAATTTTACACTTGGTTTCCGCTGTTATGATGATAATAAATAATAACAATTTTCCAATTCTATTTGTATTATCATCTTGGTCCTGTGACAATTTATTTCAGTTATCGATTTTTAAGCTAGGAAATGAAAAGAGAAAGATATAATTTGTCAAAAATCAAGCATCAGATATAATCAGTTCCTTATTTTCAACACAACAATTACAATTAGCATAGCATAGGGTATCAAAACATGCCTTTAAATTTGGGATGTAGTATTATCTTTGACTTTTAAACTGTTCAATATGTTTAAAGCACTAGCGACCACATTCATCAACTGCACAATTTCATCAGGTTTCTTTGAATTTTCCAGTTGTTCCAAAGCCCATGCTAATTTTTGAGTTATGGCATTTTCAGCATTCTCCTCCAAAACAGTTACTTTCACGCTATCGTTATCCTAAAATAGCATACAGTTTAAGAGGGAGAGAGAGAGAGAGAGAGAGAGAGAGAGTTCAATGAAATCAAAAGAAGGAATTATTAGAAAACAATCAGTTCTAGACTGACTAGAAAACTAGTAATAACCGGTAATACATGATGCAATTTACAGTTTTACAGAAAAAAATTTATAAATAAATTAAGAAAATGAACATTAAAATTAAATTAAGCTTACAATATAAAGACCATCGAAATGTCATTTATTACTACTTAATTTATTTTGAAAATTGAATTAATTCTGCTACAATTCACCTTAAATGGTGTTGATGAAGCAATACGTTTAGCCTCTTCCAGAAAAGTAGTTTCTGGATTTATTTCTCGATATGGTACAAAAGATGAAATGGCTTCCGTATTGGTGAAAGAAGCAGTAGCAACTGGAAATGTCGTTGATGACTGATCAATTGTTATACGACGTTCTTCACCTTCACCTTCACCTTCATTTTTCTAAAATTGATGACAATTTTCAAATTTCCTTCATTCTAGTATTTCTATAGTAACATAAAGAAAATCAAGAAATAATGCAACTTTTCGATACCATATTATTGCGAAGTTGCTGATGCCAAGGAGCTGCTTCGATTGATCTGTTCACTGCATTCAAAAGTTGATTTGTAGTAGATGTTAAGCCGCAAGTTGTATAGGTTGGTGATGAAAGAGTTAAGGATGATGAAGTTTGAACAGAAGGAGATTCATCAGCCAGCTGATCTGATTCTGAACTTGAACAGCAACTACCACCCTATAATGTCCATCATAGGATCTTATTTTAGTACTATTCATTTATTATTGTAAATATTTGGCTCATTTGCTAATTAAATTCATCAAGCAACAATTTTATAGTCTTCTAAAATAAGGATCTTCAATCTTTTAACGTGTAAAAACTTTTGATAAAGAATGGGAAAATATAAAGATATGAAATTATCAGAGACAACTTATAAATACTTACAGACTGCAAAGATCCAGTACAATCCCGTTTCTTTTTCTTCACAATCATCTTCAAAGTTTCTGTATAGTCTTTTGATAATTTTAGCGATCTCATTGCTGAGTAACAGGTTGATAACGGTTGCTGAAATATACAAGTATTATTTAATAATATAACAATAGATTTCTACAAATAAAGCCTCTTGATAAAAGTTCACTATCTATATAGTTGTTTGGATTACATAAGTAACTATTTAATATTCAAGTTTATCCCAAAGTTTCTAGAAATACCTGCTATATTAACGGATGCGAACATTATAGCATACTAAAAAGGAAGTTCACAGGTTGAAATTTGCTAAACTTAAAGAAATAAGGAAAATAAAAAATGTAAATCAAATTTTAGACCTGAACTTATACCGAAAATTTTTGTATATTCCATTAAATAAAGTTCAAATGAAAAAGAAAAAAAAAAAACAGAAAAATGACATTTCACTATCATTCACTTCTTTACCTTATTCCTAATATCAATACTCCAAAGCAAAAATTGGTTGCAAATTAATCTGACGATATCAAGGAATCATCTAAGTGTTCTTATGTATGATTTTTGGCTCTTTACGTAAATAACTATGTCAAATTAATTTATAATTAAAAAGACCTTAAGTTCTTGAGCAATTTGCAAAAAAGTTAATCCTTGTTCACGTAAGCAACGTACACTTTCACCTAACTTTCGATTTTCTGAAAAAGATCAAAAAGAGTATGAAACTATAAAACATAAATAAATCCTAAAAAAAAAAAAAAAAAAAAAAAAAAAAAAAAAAAAAAAAAAACCAAATCAAGAATTTAGGCAATATCAAACTAAACTGTCCCATTTTACAAAATGAAAAGCTTGAGAGAAAAAAAATGGAAAATTTTCTAAGATATATGAGAAACGAGAAAAGAAATTCATTAAATCTCTTTTTTTTTTTTTTATATAACAATCAAATAGATACGTCCGAATACTTACTTTCAACACTGCTTACTGTAATCATCGTTCGTTTTTCTTTTAGTATTTGAATAAAACAAACTCCTAAAATAAATGTAAATTAATGAATATACGGCAATACCATGTAGATATTGCAGCACAAAATAAACATCAAACTTATTAAACAATCATCAATGGTTGGTTATACAACAAAAACAAACTTATTTGCCAGCCATATAAAAGAACATTTCTCGCTCAGCAAGAAAAAAAAAAAATTATCATTCTCTTTTAAAAATAAAAAAAAAAAAAAAAGTACATATGAAGTTTTATTGTGTGATAAAAAATAATCCTATGAATTATATTAAACTGTAAGAAACATTCATTCAACAAATTTTCTTTTTTTTTTTCTTTTCATCATAAAGAAAAAGAAAAATTTATTGAGCTTTTTTTTTGTTTTTTTTTCACTGCTAATTGATGTTCTAAAGTTTTTTTTCATTTTATGATGTGAAATATTTTGTTGACAATCAATGAAAAGAAAAAAAAAAAAAAAAAAGATTAAATTGATTAGAAAAAGATGAAATATATTTTCAAGAAGCATTAGATGATGAATGAAAGAGTGTATCGTTGTGAAAATGAATTGAACACTTTTCATCGATTAATTTCGTTTAGAATTTTTGAATGTTTGTTTGTATCACAAAAAAAAATTACACCAAATTTGCTGTATAACTGTCTAATTCAATGAATGATACATCCTATTTTATATTTTAAATAACAGCAAAAAAAAAAAAAAGGAAAAAAAAAAATTAATATAAAACATACAGATGCAATGATATTTGTCGTTCATAATAAGTGAACAAAATTGATAATAATTATTAATGTAAGGGGCACATATATTTTTTTTTTTTAATAAATTATTTTTTTTTTTTCATTTATATTTTTTAATAAATTATTTAATAATTTTTTTCGATTAGATTAATTTAAATCATCTCATTCTATCTCTTTCTAAAAAAATAAAAAAAAAAAAAAGAAACCATACATTCTATTACATCCTAAATATATAATATATACTTTCCAGTATTGAATAATTTAAAAGATGAAATGATTATATGATTTTATAAATTATTATTTGATATTTAAACTACTATTAACTTATCTATTACATCCTAAATATATAATATATACTTTCCAGTATTGAATAATTTGAAAGATGAAATGATTATATGATTTTATAAATTATTATTTGATATTTAAACTACTATTAACTTATCTATTACATCCTAAATATATAATATATACTTTCCAGTATTGAATAATTTGAAAGATGAAATGATTATATGATTTTATAAATTATTATTTGATATTTAAACTACTATTAACTTATCTATTACATCCTAAATATATAATATATACTTTCCAGTATTGAATAATTTGAAAGATGAAATGATTATATGATTTTATAAATTATTATTTGATATTTAAACTACTATTAACTTATCTATTACATCCTAAATATATAATATATACTTTCCAGTATTGAATAATTTGAAAGATGAAATGATTATATGATTTTATAAATTATTATTTGATATTTAAACTACTATTAACTTATAATACCACACTATATTTCTTAGTTTGCGTAATAAATCAATAAATCATAAAGTTATTCGCAACAATAATAATTCATTTTCATACATAATCATAATTATTCAGTAAAATTTTAATGACTTCCTTAAAAATAGTTATTTACGCAAAAAAAAAAAAATGCTCATTTGTCCGTTCTAAAACAGGTTATAAAAGTGGAAGAATTGGAGAAAATGATGAGAATGTAAAACGGAGAGAAAAATGGTGAGAAACGCATATTACACTTTTTCGATTACTTGGATCAAAGTGTCGTCAAAAGTGTCATCAGTATCATCATCATCATCTACTACAGCCATTATCTCTACTCCTTACGGAAGGACGAAATGTTGCGAGAAATTCATATTTATTCATTTCTATTTCTTTCTTTGCTTGGAACAATAGCTGAAACAAAGGTTAGAATATTAGCAATTATATATATATATATATTATTAAATGGTTTAAATCAACGATAGTATAAACGAAGAAGTGCGGAAAGAGATGAGAAAAGAGGAGGAGAAAAAGGATAAATTAGGATAAATAATTTAACAAAGAAAATCAATTTTTATCGATAAAAGTAGGAAAAAAAAAAAAGGGGGGGGGGGGGGGAAGGGGAAAAGAAAACGAGAAAAGAGGTTAAATGTGACTGTATTTGGCATGTAATAAAATTACATCATCACAAGAAGATGAACTGATTTTCCAACAATATTTGATATTATCACTGATAAAATGCATAATTATTCAATATTGATTATACTACAGATGAAAAATTTGGTTACTGAATTTGTGAAAGAATCGGGATCGTCCATTTTTGATGGTAATAAAAATACAGAATTTGCAATATTAATCGAATCAAGAGAATCCGAAGATTATGATGATTATATGGATGAATTCAAGAAAGCTGCAGAGAAATTCGAGAATAAGGTTTAATCATTTTTATATTAATTAAGCATTATAGAATTATGCAAAAAGTAATCCTATATAGAGACTTTTATGAAAAAATGTCCAATATTGAAAAAGTATGAGCTAAAATTAAATAGCACATTTTTAAGTCTATACATCTTCTAAAACTATCCATTGGTGATTCTTCAACTTAAATTAGATTTCTTGCTGTTTCAAAAAAAAAAGTATAATTTCGTAGTATTTACACAAACAACAAAAGAAGCGAATATTTCAATTCCAAATTCTTTCTAATTATAGCAATGAAAAATGTTATATATATTATTCGGAAAGACTAAATCTAGACCAATTATTCAACAGGTATTTAGGTGCAATTTGTATATATCAATTCGGATATAGAAGAAAATTGGCAAATAATCGAATTTCTCGGTTTAATAGCAGAAGATGTGCCTGGTGTATTATTTGTTGGTCTTAAAAAGCACTTCAAAAAGTATAAAGCAGAAATGAAAGAAGTAAGCATTTCACTCAAAAGATAGTATTTATTTTCTAAATTACAAACTTATGAATTTTCTGAAGATGAAGGATGAATTCAAAATTCCATTTCTCATTATGTTCCATCAGTATAATCGTTTTACAGAATTTGTGAAAAAATAACAGATCACATTATTAAAAATGAAAAAGTAATAAATACTACACAGACAAAATTAACCAATATTTCATTTTGAAGCATTTCGCACACTTTCCCATAAATCTAGAAGGTACAATTTCTCTATAAAAAAAAAAAAAAAAAAAGAATTTAATACCACTTTCACTGATATCACTGATAAATTTAAAGATAACAAAAGCAGAAATAATTTCATTCGTGCAATCATGTTTGGATGGTAAAGCAATACCTTTTTTGAAAAGTGAAGAAATTCCTGACGATTGGAATAAAAAACCCGTGATTGAATTAGTAGGGAAAAATTTCGAAGAGCAAGTATTTGACCCAAAGAAAACAACCTTCGTATTCTTCTGTAAGTTTTCTTCATTTCATTACTTGATATTTCTAAATTAATAAAAACAACATTTATAGAGAAAGAGAGAGAAAAAAAAAAAAATAAATAAATAAATAAGAAAACATTGGAAGAGAAGGCAAAGCAGAAAAAAAAAGTAATTTAGAAAAAAAACTAATTTAAAACTTGTTTTCTCGCAAAAAAAAAAAAAAGAAAAAATCATTACAACGTTCAATATCGCTTAGTAAAAACATAAAAAAAAAAATTCGAAAAATATTGAATCAATTTTTTATATTTCAATACATACATTACACATTATAATGATTAAGATTTGTTTTCAAACAATCAATAATATATTGAGCGAAAAATGATACATAAATTTTCTAACAAAACATTTAATACTTTATGATTACAAAAAAAAAAAAAAAAGCTCTGGTTACAACGCTGAAATATTTCATATTTCTTATATTCTTTTTTTTTTTTTTTAAAGAAAAAGAAATTCAATGATGATAAAAATAAATTATAATATAAATTAGCATATAGTACAATAAGCTATAGGACTGTTTCTATCTTAGATTGAATTATCATCAGTTTTCAATTAGCCATAGCAATAATTGAATTTTTCAAAAACCAATTGCTTATGTTTGCTACCACTACTACTAAGTGACATGTGACATCATTATCTACTACGACGAATCTCAATGTGCAAATGCAGTATGCTTCAGTAAATTGTTCATTCCTATCAATAATATTTACAATATGGCTTATTTCAAGGAATTTAATACGTTCAAAAAGTGAATTTAATTTAAAGGAATTTCATTTAAAATGGTTTTTTTTTTTTTTTTTTCAATTCATTGAAAAATTCAATTATTATGATTGTTACAGATGCACCATGGTGTGAAGCATGCCAGAAAACAATGCCAGAAATAGAGAAACTTGGTGAACTTTATAAAAATAAGAAAAATCTAGCAATTGCCAAAATGAATTCAATGAATAATGAAGTATTTGGATTACCGATACTTGATGTACCTACTATAGCATTATTTATTAAAGGATCAAAAAAAGTTTGTCTCTTTTACTAATACTTTTCTTTTTGCTTTCCCACAAATCTTTATCAATACAATAGAATATAAATGTAATTTAATTAGTAATATAAATATAATTTGATAGTAGTTTTTACTAATACTTTTCTTTTTGCTTTCCCACAAATCTTTATCAATAAAATAGAATATAAAATGGAAATATAAATATAATAAATTTGATAGTAATAATAAGCGTTGTAGAAATTCCACAATATTTTAATTAAGAAAAATTTCCCAAAAAAAAAAAATAATTGAAAAAATCATTCAAATTACATCAAATTTCCTTTCCTATTCTTCTTCTAGCCTATTTATCATACGGAAGATGAACGCACAGCAAATAATTTCTCCAAGTTTATTGCGATGAATTTGGAAAGCAATGAAGAAAATAGTATGAAAAAGGATGAAAAAGAAAGAGAGAAAGAAAGGAAAAAGGAGAAAAGTAATGATGGAAAGAAGCAGCTAAAAGATATGAATAAGGTGGAAGAAGCTAAGAGTAAGGATGAACTTTAAGCTAAAATTTTTACGATACGATTAATATTGATCTCTCTTCTCCTGATATCCATATCTCTCTTTATCAAATGAAACACACACACCTCCCTCTCTTCCTATCTCTCTGACTTCATTCTCTTGTGCTACCAATAATTTTAGTTTATTATATTTACTTAGTCAACTTTGTTATGTTGAGAAATTTCAAAAAATAAAACAACAAAAATGACTTGTAAACAAATTAAAACCAATAGCTTATGAATCGAATTAGCAGCGTTTCTAGTAAAGTTTTTTTCCTTTTTTTTTTTTTTTTTTATACATTCTGTTCCACGTACAGTGATCACTTATTATGATAAAAAGTACTGGAAATATCGTCAAAAAAGGCATAAATAAAATTGAGTAGTCATTGTGATCTTCAACCTTATCTCCTTCTCACTAATTTTCAGTCTTCCAAAGGGAAAATTTAAATCAAACAATAAAATTTATAGAAATAAACTTGAGGAATGTATACTATCGAAAAAAAATGCAAATAATTTATTATTAACAAAATTTGGAAAATGATAGGAAAAACACAGAAATGGTAATGAACTAAAGAGTAAAGAAAAAAGAATACAATTGGCTTGTTATTATCTTCCATTATTAATAAAAATAAAATTCGTAAGAGAACAAGATGATTCATAATTCAAAGCTGCCTGCAAGAAATGCAGAAATCACAGGTTATGATATTTTACTTGGATGAAGTGGTATCACACCTATACCAACACCACCTTCATGCGCTACCATACTTGTTGTCAATGTCCATCTATCCTCCTCAATATTATACGTCTCCATGGAACTCAAATTCGAAATGCCATCATAACTGAAATAATCTGTATGCAAATTTCTCATAATAATTTCTTAGCAAAATTTCCACAATTCAAGAAAGTATATCATAGAAATATGAAACCAGAATATGACAAAATCTCAAGTTAATACACTCTAATCTAATTAAACATTTGTAACTTACACTGAACTGGTCACTTTATTTAAGACTGCTATATAATTTAGTGTAGCAACCATTCCGATAATGGAGAGATAGCGTTACAAGCTTGACAGAATTATGTTCGTAACTCTCGTGATAAAGAAAAAGCAATAAAAGCAAACATTAAGACAGTTTATTTTTAATCCATCCCATCATTTACTCCACCTCTCAAAATGAATGAATGCAATGACAAACCCAGCAATAGCATAAAGAACACCAGAATTGGAAACCAGTGATACTCGACTTCTTTTTAAATGCATTGGTGACAGTGGACTCCACTCATCCTTCTCTGGTTCGTATACTTCAACGCTTTTCAGAAATTGACAACCATCGTAGCTGCAAAAAAAAAAAAAAAAAGGAAACTTATTTACCAAAATCTAGAAATGCTAAATTTTAGCCAAATTTGGCATTACAGCTATGCCATACAGAATTTAAAAACTTGTCACTTGTTTGAAAGCAAATATAAAAAGAAAAAACAAAAAATGCATGATATAAAAATAAATGTTTACCCGCCACAAACATAAATTTTTCCTCGAACAGCTGCAGCTCCTAGACGACATCGTTTTGTGTTCATCGATTTTACCATCTGCCATTCACCACTATCAACATTAAGACGTTCAACAGAGTTAAATATTGACATTCCGTCGTGTCCACCTATTACTGCAACGCAGTTTTTTTACACCTTCATTTATCTTTTTTAGTTTCACAAAGATATCATCATAAATTTATCAGCAAATTCTTACCATAAATGTAATTATCGATAACAGCTACACCCGCAGCAGATCTTTGCTTGTTCATTGCAGTAGTTAGAGTCCATCGATTTGTACAAGGATTATAAACTTCGACTGATGCAAGTGAACTAATCCCATCATATCCACCGCATACATAAAGGCGATCATTCACTACAGCTGCTCCAAGCGCGGAACGTTTATTAATCAACGAACATACCTGTAAAAAAAAAAAAGAAAAAAGTGAAAATTTTACATTGAAGAGAGCAAACAATACTCTAACATTCCATTACAGTACAGTTTAGTGGATCTTTTGAAAATAATCTTATTAGGCTTTAAAAGATGTTAGCAGAATAATCTCATTGTCTGGGTCATTTTTATATATCCGTCTTAATGTCAGGAGAGATGAAATAATGTGTAGTATATCTTCATTTCAAATTCAACCTCAGCCCATTTATTCTGATCCGGATCAAAGACTTCAACAGTACGAAGTCGATCATGGCCATTGAAACCACCAATAGCATACAGCATACGATTTAACACAGCAACACCTACTCGTGATCGAATTGAATTCATCGGCTGTGCTGATGTCCACTTACCTTTAAACATGGTAATAATTGGTCCAAGTGTAGAAAGTTCAATAAATGATATGAAGATAATGAAAGACAATTACCAGTCATTGGATCATACACCTCAACAGTTGACAAAGAATCACCACTATTCGTCAAACCACCAACTGCGAAGATTAAACCGGGAACATCAAAGCAACATCTCTGCTTCGTTCTAGACAAAAAAAGATTTTCTTCCCAAGGAATTTTAATTCCATCCATAATTTGAAACAAAAAAAGAAATCTAAGCTTTATTGAATAAATAAGATTTGCACTTATCAAAAGAGGCAAAAAGTTCAACAAAAATGACAATTTTTCAAAATCTTCTTGACCATACTTTGAGTTATTCTTTTATATTTCTAAAGTAGAACAAGCAGTTGCACCTGAATTTTTTAAGGAACTTCCTTCGTTCTGGCATGAGATGATAATCTTTTGCCTCATCAATTAAATCACGACAATCAAGACATTCACGGATAAATGGATGAGAAGCTACATTATCAGTAATAAAATGAGGTTTCAGTAATGGCATCCTGACGCATGTAAGTACCCTGAAAATTGATTTACTAAGGAAATATAAAGTCATTCACAACTGAAAAATAAAATTAGAAAGTGTTTTCTAAAATATACGAATGAACAGAATTCTATTTTGATAAGTCAATATATTTCAATAGTGTACTATCATGAAAAGCATGAGCTCATATGGTAAGTAACAGAGAGCATACGAAGAAGGAACTTTTCGTTGGATAATTCAGAATTTTGAATTTTTCTTGCATATATGATCAATGTAACTAACTTTTGCATTCAAGTAATAATCTCTTTCTCTTCTCTTGTTCATAAGTAATTGTTCAAGAAGTTTCTATCCCATAAGTTCAAAACGTAAGATTATAATACCCCTACCTTTGCTGTTTGTTAGTTCAGTGCACTGATTCTTTTGTCAAAGATGAGAACTCTCCAATTTCTTCAAAATTAAATCATATCCAGTTGTGAAATGAGGGAAGCCAGAACAAGAGAGATATTTACAATGAAGCAATTGATAAACAATAAAAATAATTTCCATTTATCCACAATAGCATCCAATCTTAGCCAAAAAATATTACCTCGGTAAATATTGTTTCCTTTCAGGATTATGCTGGACCCAACGCATACATGCATCAAACATTTGCTCTTCACTTTCAACAAACAGTTCATCTCTGTTCAGTATTGTTATCAAATCATCTACTGATAAAGCCAAATATTCTTCACCTTGCGATACCGATAGAAAATGTTTGTGGAGGAAACAATCTAAATCATTTTTTTCTAGAATAAAAACGAGACACTGAAGAAGTCAGAAGGTAAGGATAATTTTGAAATGGTAAAATATATACATTTTTCTATTTCTTCGCTTCATCTTTCTTTATTCATCATCGCGTCCTTACCAGAAACAATTTTCATCCATTCTCCATCTTTACAAGATTATTTTACAATATTAATGAGCCACGCACTCATTTCTCGAGAAAAACTTCTAGAGAAACGTGAAATATTCTGGTAATTTTGGAATGAAGGGGAATAAATAAAAAGGAGACATACAGTTAGATACCTGCCGAAAGGACAAGTGATACACAGCCAAGAGCCATAGCAAAGGATCGTATACCAAGGACGTTCTGTGCCTGCAACCTACACTTTAGAAATTTGGAGCATTCATCTACGATTCCATTGAGTTGCAAAAAATTTGCGGCATGCATCATGCTTTGCACATTTGCAGCGGTTATCCTTATGCTTCCCGTGTATGAGAAAGCTATCAATTGCTCCAATGTGTCCGGCTCGAAATCTTCATGAAACAAGTAGAAAAAAATGAAATGCAACATATATGGTATGGATTTTAATCCAGACAATGAAATATAGGTAAATAAAGCATCCTGATAAACTATCAAGTTCTAATTTATATAAGAACTAAACAGTGAAACTTAAAAATGCCTCTCTATTGAATCGCAGAGGAATGAAAAATACCAATTATAACAGTATTCTTCATCTTTTATTTCCTACTTTTTTTTACATTAGTTATCTAATCAGTTTTCTCCATATGCCAATGAGGATAACGTTTCTCAATAATTTCAAAGTCAAAGATGTTGGTTCATTCTATGAAACTCCGAAATCTTATTTCGAAACATTTAGCAAGCCACAAAAATCCAACTTTTATGTAATATCTCCGCTTATCAAGATTTAGGTGAAGTCAACGGAATAATATTATGGTATTGCTAATAATATGGTCAAGATTTTTCTGGATACTGAATATTACTGACTGCAGTAATTCCACCCATATGTCAAAAGTCAACCTTTCAAATGAATCTCTTCCTGCTGACTTTCAGCCATATCAGCTGTAAACATCGCTCGGAAATAGGGAATTGTCGCAGCTAGAACAATACGATGAGCACTAAATCTGAAATTATTTCTAATTCTATTATTGTGAATCATTATAAATATGAAAAACTTCTATAACAAACCAGAAAATATGTATTATATGAACAACAAATGGGGGTTTCTTTTGTACAAACCTGACATTACCAACAACAAGTATCACATCACAAAGTTTTCCGGCACGACGAATTTCTTCAAAGTTTGGAAATGCATTAGCAGCCAATGAAGCACCGCATTCAAATACCATTACCTCATCATCATCTTCATCACACA